ATGACTGGGCCCCCCCACACCAAGACAGGGCTGGAGCCCCCCTGCTTCCAACCCCAACACCAGGGGGTGCCCTCAGGCTGCATCCAGTAGGACAGGACAGGGCGCCTGGGGGATCCTGGCATCTAGCTCCCTCACCTAGAGGAGACTGGGATGAGCCGGCGGTTCAGATACTTCCTCTGGGCCAGCAGATCCACTGTGGGAAAAAGGCACAGGAGAGAGGGTCAGGGACAGGGATGGGGACGGGCTGGGGGTTGGGAGCGAGGAGCCCTAGCGCTGGTAGGGGGCCTCTAGCAGGAAAAGGTAGTGCAGGTCAGGAGTGAAGGGCCCCAGTAGGAAGGGGGTTGTGGGTTATGAGTGAGGGGTCCCAACAGCAGCTGCAGGTTGGGAATGAGTGGCGGTGTCCAAGGGCGGGGTCTGGGTAAGGAGTAAGGAGCCACGGCAGGTAGAATGGGGGGGGCTACACATCAGGGAGCAGGGAAAGCTGCAATGGGGAGCAAGAGGCACCAGTGTCCCTGGTGGCCTGTGGGTCAGGGATGAGGGGCCCCGATTTTTTTGGGGGGCTCACCTTTGCGGCTGTTGCTGTAATAGGCCCCAAAGGCCTCGTCTCGGGGCTGCGAGGGGTACAGCAGTTTGAGCGGGTTCTCGGGCACATTCTTGTGTGCCAGCATGTGGTAGTCACGAATGATGTCGGCCAGCGGCAGTGACTCCAGCTCCACCTTGGTGTAGGGCTCCACGGAGCAGAACTCGGGGCGGTCTGCGAGGGGGCGGGGGTCAGTGCAGAAGAGAACCCAGGTGTCTGGGGGGCCTGACCCCCCCCCACAACCCAGAGAACAGAGCCATTCACAACTGGCACCCCCAAGGTGGGGTCCTGGACACCTAGGTCCTACTTCCAGGTGTTCAAGGGGAGGTGGTCATAGGAGGAGGAGGAGGAGGAGGAGGAGGAAGGCAGGGAGCCTGGACGCCTGGGTTCCTTGGCCAAGCACAGGGTGGGGAGTGGGGCAGGGAGCCCAGACGCTGGGTCCCTGGCTCACCGCTGCTCCCGTGCTCCACCCAGGTGAAGGTGATGCCGCCCTCACGGCAGCTCTCGCTGAAGCGCAACAGGAAGGTCCCAGTCTGCCGCCGCCGCAGCAGCTGCCGCTCCCGCTTCTTGCTCACAAAGCCCAAGATCAGCCTGGGGGGGCCCCAAGGGGGGGGTGGCATGAGCCCCCCAGAGCCAGGGGCTGCCCAGCCCGGCCTCCCAGTCCCACAAGTCCTACCCATCCTTCCACAGCAGGGAGAGGTACTTATGGATCAGCTCCAAGATCCCCTCCAGCCAGGTCCAGAAGGAGAAGCCGGGAGGGGAGTCCTGTAGGGAGAAAC